TTTTATTTTATTATTTTTGTGTGAGTGTACCGTCAAATCAGATCTGACTGGTACAGGAGGAGATTGTCCCTTCTTCCCCGGCAGAGCATCTGGTGGATTCGAACCATGCGCCTCTGAGATTGTAGTTGCTTCTTTAGGTAATCTATAGACAGAGGTCAAGCCTGAGCCTGGTCACATTAATATTTCCATAAGTGAAACCTGAAAAAGTTGGAACCTTTGTAAGGCAGAAACCCAGCAGAAAAGAAAAACTTTCATATTTTCCTCTAACTAAAGTGTGTTTCTGCACTCTGTCAAAGGAGGAAGCTGATAAGATCTTGGGAAAACAAGGAAGTCCTGTGGAATTCTGGTTCTTCCAGGTTTTACTGTATTTGTCTTTTAGCCCTCAGATAGTTTGTTTTAAAGTAGTGAGGGGCACTGTGGTGCAAGAAAGGTTAAAACAAATTCCAGGCTCAAATAAAGAAGAAAGCATTTTGACAAGTTTGCTTGCATTGCTGATGGTCAAGCTCACGGGGACACACTGTAGGTATTCAATAAATATTGGATGAATGAGTTAAGGACTCTAAAAGAACCAGCTCCATGGACATATTATTCATTTATTGAACAATTTCATTTTTTTTTATAGGCTGTACATCACACAGAATGTCCAATTCAGCTATCTTGATGCAGGCCATAGACTAGGCAAACCTGGGTTGTGGGGTTTTTTCCTAAAAAAAAAAAAAAGAAGGGGAAGAAATAAAGTTATGAAGAGGTACTTTTCACCGTTTCCTTTATGTTGAAAAAGTCTCTCAACATGCAATTTGTGCTAAATTTATTCTTTCCAGAAAATGGTCAAGAATTTGACCCTTCTCACCAGTTCCAATCAGTTGTCCTTGAACTGATTCCAGTTCAAGGTCAAGGTGAGCCCAGGGGTGTCAGCTGAACTGTGCTCGGTGGGGTGTGGGGTTTAGACATTTGATTTTTAAGAAGGACATTGCCCGCCTTTCTTCCAGAGTGTCTCTAGACTCAAACCCCCATTGTTTTGGTGAGCAGTCAAGCTTGTTAACATTCGCATCACTGAGGGTCTTCCCCTGTCAATTTGAGGAGGCAGGAAAGAAACCTGAGAATACAGTCCAATCATTTTGCAGAAAAGAAAAAGAAAGGTTGCCTAGCAGTTAGGGGGCAGAACCCTTAACCAAAGTCGGTATCTTCTGGTTACTTTCAGGAAAATTACTAACCATCTTCCTCCTGTGACCTTTTCCCCCCTCCTCCCCTTGCCTCCTGCCAGATTCCACCATATTGGCAACAGTAGTAGAAGTCATCGAAAGAAGGAGAAGAATTTGTGGAAGGGGACAAGCCCTAAAGAAGCTAGTTGAGCGGTGCAGCACGGGAGATCGCAGCTTCTGGGAAGACCTACCGGGACGTGAGGAAGATCACTAGAAGGAGGTGTTCTTCAAGAAACTCTCAAACATCTTCAGAGCCTGAGCAGGTCGGTACTGGGGCACCATGTGCCCTGAACCCTGTGAGGGAAATAGGCCAGAAAGTGCAAACACTTACAAAAAAAATTAAAAAACCAACCTAATGCCATCAAGTCAGTCCCGATGCACGGTAACTTTTCACTGATTGGACAAGATTGTAAATTTTCATAGGAAGGGACTTTCTCTGACAGAGCAGCTGGTGGGCATGAACTGCGGACTTTTTGGTTGATGTTGTTGTTAGTTGTTACTGAATTGTTATGAGATTATGTCTCATAGCGTCCCTAGGAACAAGAGATCTGAACTTGGCTCTATCCTCTGTCGTCCTCACAATGTCTGATATACTCAAGCCCACTGCAGCCGTCACTGTGTCAATGTATCACTGGAGGGTCTTCCTTTTTCACCAACCCTTCACCTTTCCCAGCATGATGTCCTTCTTCAAGGAATGCTCCTTCCTCACCACAGGCCCCACGTATATGAGACCAATCTCACCGCCCTTCACCTCCTCTCGGGAGCACCCTGGCTGTTCTTCCTCCAAGACAGACTTATCTTTTTCACAGTCTATGGGGCACTCAGGTCACTTCTCCAACACCGCAACTCAGAGGCCTTGTTTCTTCTGCCATCCTTAGACCTTGTCCAACTTTCACGTGCTTGTTGTTGTATACCATTGAGTAAGAACCGACCCATAGCTGACCCTCCAGTGGGTTTTCAGAGACAGTAAATCACACAGGAGGAGACTGTCTTTCTTCCATGAAGCACCCGGTGGATTAGAACCGCACACCTTTGGGACTGCAGTCTAGTTAGATCCGGCCCACCTTAGCTTTTAAACTGCACCTTGAAGTTGTTCTTTTTTTTTTTTTTCTTGAAGAAGTTCTTGACAGCAGATTTTTCTAATTCAACATGTTGCTGTGTTTTAGTTTGGGTGTGGTGTTTGGGTTTGTTTTTTGTTTTTTTAATTTTTTTTTAATTATTATTTTTGTGTGTGTGTACCATCAAATCAGATCTGACTGGTACAGGAGGAGATTGTCCCTTTTTATTTCTTGACAGCTGATACACTGTCAATTGTGGATCTGAGAAAAATGAAATAGGCAATAACTTCAGTTGTTTTTCAATTTATCATGATACTGCCTTTTGGGACATTTTGAGGGTTTTTGTTTTCTTGATGTTGAAATGTAATTCATATTCAAGGCTGTAGATTTGGATCTTTTGCAGCAAGTATTTCAAGTTCTCTTCACTTTCAGCAAGTAATGTTGTGTCATCTGCACAACACAGGTGGTTGAGGAGTCTTCCTCCAAACCCAAGGCTACATTCTTCTTCCTTTTGACAAGCTTCTAATATATTTTTTAAAATTTGTTATATATAAACAAAAAAAAATTTGTTATATATAGTCCAACTTCTTGAATAATTCGCTCATCAGACAGATTAAATAGATATAGAGAAAGGATTCAACCTTTATGTACACCTTTCCTGATTTTAAACTATGTAGTGTTCACTTGTTCTGCTTGGATAACAGCTTCTTTGTGTAGGTATAGTTTTGCATAAGCACAATTAAGTGTTCTGGGATTTCCATTCTTCTCCGTGTTGTCTATAATTTGTCATGATCCACACAGTCAAATGCCTTACTTAGCACAGTCAATAAAACACAGAGAGGGAGCTCTGGTGGCCTAGTGGCAAGAAGCTGCACTGCAATCCTAGGGGTATGTGGTTCAAATCCACGTATGCTCTGCTGGAGAAGGAGGAGCGATCTCCTTCTGTACCAGTCAGAAACGATTTGATGGTACACACACACAAAATGATAAATTTTTTTTTAAAAAACCCACACAGATAATCATCTTTCTGGTACTCTGCTTTAAGCCAAGATCCATCTGACATCACAAGTGGTATCACAAGTGCCACGGCCTCTTCTGAATCCACCTGAATTTCTGACAGATCCCTACTGACATATTGTTCCAGCTATTTTTTAATAATCTTCAGCAAGATTTTACTTGCATGTGATATTATTAATATTATTCGATAATTTTCATGTTCTGTTGGATCACCTTTTATGGAAATGGAAAAATATGTGGATCTCTTCTGGTCAATCAGGCAGGTATAGATCTTCCAAATTTCTTGAAGTACACTAATGAGCACGTTGAGGGCTGCATTTATGTGTGGAAACATAGCAACTGCATTCCATCAATTACTGCGGACTTGTTTTTTGACAGTACCTTTAGTGTAACTTGAACATCTTCCTTCATTACCATTGGTTCTTCATCTTATGCTAGTTCCTGAATCGGTTCCTGGCTATCAATTCTTGGTACAATGGCTATTTATTTTTTCTATCTCCTTTTGATGCTTCTCATATCATACAAGAGTGTGCTCATAAATCCTTCAGTATTATAAGTGAAGGCCTGAATTTGTTTTTCAGTTCTTGCAGCTTGAGAAACGCAGAATATATTCTTCCCTTTTTCTCTTTGTGCATTTTGTTATAATACTTTGTTTTCTCAAACCACCTTTTGAAATCTTCTGTTCAGCACCCTTACTTCAGCATTTATTCCCTTTGGTTTAGCCTTTGTGTGTTTCAGTGCAAGCAACCCCAGTAATGTCAAACCTATTGTTTTTGTCTTTTGCCTTCCACTAAGATTCTCGGCCAAGCTGTGAACAATAGACTTGAACCTTGCCCTGGCTTGCACTGTCCTCACAATCTCTGATATGCCTGAGCCCATTGTTGCAGTTGTTGTGTTGATCCATCTAGTTGAAGGTCTTCCTCTCTTTCTCTGACCCTCCAACTTTCCAAGCATGTTATCTTTTTTTAAAAGACTGACTCTTCCTGATTTGTTGCTGTTGTTGTTAAGTGCCATCAAGTCCTGGACAACTCATGAAGGACCCTATGAATGAAAGACCTGAACACTTGTATAACTTTCATCGTTTCTCCACGTTCAATAGAGTTTTCAGAGGCAAGCTATTTCAGTCCTCTCACGTTAGGTTGTCATTAGTCCTAATGGAAGGGTAAAGTGCTTTTTTCTCTTTAACCTCGGAAGGACCTAACACCAGACTGAAGTCTAAATCATCCCAGCCCAGGTTGTAGTTAAAAAGTGGGTGGAGGCGAGCTCTGGTGGCCTAGTGGCAGGAAACTGCACTGCAATCCCAGAGGTTCACGGTTCAAATCCACCAGATGCTCTGCTGAAGAAGGAGGAACAGTCGCCTCCTGTACCAGTCAGATCCAATTTGACGGTACACACATTAAATAAATAAATAAATTTTTTAAAAAAGTGGGTGGAACAGGGGCCCTACCTTGACTGTGAGAAAGGAGATCTTCTCGTATTCTTTAAAGAAGCCGGCCACCTGATTGTTCCAGTACCAGGGCTGGTAGGGGCTCACCATCTAAGGAACCAAGAAAGGAGCCACTCAACCATGGCATCTCCACAGTTTCTGCAAAGGAGTTCTCCATAAAGTGGCCCCTGGCCCCACGGAGCCTGACTTGGGTGTCAAGAGCAGCTGTTGGCTCAGAGAGGCACGAAAAATGGATTTAGAACAGCAGTACTAGGGATCATTGAGCCCATCACCACCCTAGCCCTCATTTCATCAACAAATAATCATTGACTAAGAGCCTATGGTATGCAGAAAACATTAACTCAGGATAATACAAGCACCTTAGAACAGCAGCTCATCCCAGTCTGTTAGGGAATTCAGACCCCAAGTCTCTGAGTCTCAGCCTTTTGGGAGCTTCTCAATGTTTTCATTTAGCTGAATAAGGTCACCAGGTCTTTATCCTGCGCTACCTCTCAGTGAACTTGAACTTCTAACCACTTACCATTCCATGTTCCCAAAGGAAAGGAAGAAATAGTTGGGCTGGTAGGTGTTGATCAGAGGCTAGCCCAGGATCCAGCTATTCAACAAGGAATTACACCTGTGATAGCTGTTAACACAGGGCAGCCTGTGACCCAGTCACAGCTGACTGACTTACGGAGGATATGAAAGGTGTAGAAATTATCTGAGTAAAAAGTGGGAAGGTGGGGAAGTGCATTGTGTGGCTAGGATGCCTTCTGGAGAGAAGGTATCATTTGGCTTTCTTTGAGCAGTTGAAAGACCAAGACAACTGGCCTCCAAAGAGGTAGCCCGGAGCTGTGTCAGAGGTGTTGCTGGAAAGCCTTTGAAGGCTTGGGTGGAGCAGCAGACATGCTTAGTTTACCTGGTACTATAGCCTCTCTGAGTGTGATGGAGGGAAAGGCTGGTGTTCAGCTAGAAGACGCTGCTGGGTATTAACCAGGAGCTGCTGCGTGGCTCCAGGAGAGGTAGTATCTGTGAGGGTGGAGGGAATTGGAGCCCCAAGAGCTTTGGGTGATCAAATTCTCAGGCTCTGGAAGATGATGGAATGTGAAAGGTGACAGAATTGAAGGGTGGCCTGCTACTCAGTGCCTTTCTGTGGGATGAGACAGGGAGTCCGGAGAAGCGAGTTTGGAAGGATGGATGGCAAGGTCAGTTACCTATGATTCACCTAAGATGAAGATGCCAAGTGACCGCCAAAGGGGTAAAACCCAGGGAGACCCAGGGACTGAAGTTGTTTATAGGTGGGGATAGGCTGATTTGGAGGGAGAGAAAGGGCAGTTTGTGGAGATAGCATTAAGGGCTTGTATGAGCAGCCCCAGCTGGAAGGCCTGAGGACTGCCTGAGCGAGTCAGGAAGCTGTGGAAACTGGGGTGTGGCTGTGTATAGGGGGTGTGTGTGAGAGGGAGAGAAGAGAGAGACAAAGTCTTGGGTTGTGTGATGGCTTGACTACCGGAGGTGAAGGAAAGAGTAGGTTTGGTGGGATAGGAGGCGAAAGCTGCTTTGGAATAGATTATGGAGTCCAGGAGGTAGGAAACCTATAACTCTGTGTGTGTGTGTGTGTGTGTGTGTGTGTGTGTGTTTAAGATTAAGAGATTTGCTTTTAAATCTCTTTTAAAATAGTAAAATGAAGAGGGAAGGAAATATGCAACAAGGGAAATAAATGAAAATAAAACATTTTCAATGTCTAAAATAATAGGAGTCGTCTATGACTCGATGGCACTTAACAACAACAACAAATCATAAAATAGTAATAGTAATGAAGGTAACCCTCCTGGGAACTTCCCGTGAAGCTGGGTTTTGATAGTTAGAGGAACACATTCCTCACCTCTTTTGTTCCCCAAACTCATGCCGGTTCCCACGTCGCTGGCTCTGACCCACTAGTTTCATGAGCGTTGGGACAGAACTGTGTTGACTTTTTGGAAAGAGATCACCCAGCCCTCCAAAGCACCTCTAGGTAGACTTGAACCTCCAACCTGTTGGTTAGAGTGTTACCCGTGTGCATCACTCAGGGAACCTCTTCCCAAAGGAAGAAATCCTTGTCCTTTGAACATCTGACCGGCAGTCCTGCTCCAGATAATTCTCCTCAAGGCAAGAAGGTCATCTAGGGTTCTGGAAGAACGAAGGGTTGCCGCCACCCCCTCTTGAGCTCCCCATCGTTATTCCCAGGGCACCCAGAATCTGAATCCACCCAGGTCTGAGGATTCATCCTCACCGGCTGCTTCAGCGACTGCACAAACTTCTCCCCGCCCAGGAAGTTGCAAGCCATGTCTGTGTCCCCATTGTAGACGAGGGCGCGGATGTCAAGCTGCAGCAGCTCCCGGTAGAAAGGGGCCATGTCCATGTACTGCCTCTGGTACTCAGAGCTAACCTGGGGGCTACAGGGAGAAGCAGATCCGAGGGTGCCTTGTGTACCCTGCCTCCCAGGCAACAGAGTGCTTGGTTTGGGTTTTTATTTAATTTTACTTTATTTTATTATTTTATTTGACTTTATTTTATTTTATTATTTTCTTCCCCCCTCCCCTTGTTGTGTACCATTGAATCAGATCCGACTGGCACAAGAGGAGATTTCTCCTCCTTCTCCAGCGGAGCATCTGGTGGGATTCAAACTGCACTCCTTCAGCATTGCAGCACAGCTTCTTGCAACTAGGCCACCAGAGCTCCTGAAGAGTTGTTTCTAAGGGTGAGCTACACAGCCCTCGTTCACCATCTTCTCCTTACTTTTACATTTTTTTTCTGGACCTCTCTCTGAAACAGGCACCTCTCCCTCAGTCATGGCTCTTTTTTCAGCTTATGATCATTGGGTGTCTAATGTGCATAGTATTTACGTGTTTGGTCACTAACAACAAGGTAGGTGGGATTGCAGCAGTGACTGTAAACGCCATCCACACCTCTGAGTGCCCGTTCTGCTATTTCTGTCCCACCTCTGCAGAAGAAGGCCCCTCAGGCCTGCGGGGTCACGCCTCTGCCATGGCTGCCCAGGCCCCCACCTTGGGCTCACCTGCACAGTTCCCAGACAGGGAGGAAGTCAGGGATGTGGAGCGCCTGCCTCACGTCGTCCCTGTTCAGCCACACGTACATGGCAGTGGCGTTGATGCACGCAGGCACGCCAGGAACGGGGCCATTTGAAGGCTGCAGGAGACATGAGTCAAAGCTTCAGATGTGCCGCACCCACCGTGCCAATGCCCCATGGCCGCAGCATCAACCAGACGCGCTGGCATCGACTCACTCCTGCTGGCAGCCCCCGGGGCAAGAGAGTGGAAATGCTTGGCGGGGCCTTCTTGGCTCTGAGCGTCATGGAAGCGGATCTCCAGGCCTTCCGCCCAAAGTGTTACTGGCTGTGCTCAAACTGTTTGTACCACCCATGGCTAGGCTCCCCCAAATTCAGAAAGGACCCTTTTCCATCTTCAAGACTGCTGATCCTTTTGGGCCCATCCCTCTTCCCGTCCCCTCAGAATCCCAGTCAGTAAACAGGAGGATTGGTTGGTCTCCTGGTAGCCCTTCTGGGACTACGTGTGTCTACACATACACATTTGCACCCCTGTCCCACTCTTCACTCCAAAACAAGCTCTCAAGGAGAGTAACACAGGAAAGGGGCTAGAGAGAGGAAGAGGAGCCACGTCATTGTCTCCACTGCCTTCTGCCTCACTATTGTCACGCAAAATTGTCAAAGGATTCCAGCACACACATGTCCCTTAGCAAGCACGGCACGCCACCACCGCCTTGGACACACCATCGCCCTTTGCCTAGGCTTAGACCCTGCTGACCACAGGCTATGACTGCCCTGCATGGAAGGCCCACAGCGGGCTCTGAGAATGCTTTGGGAGGCTGGAGGGAGGGCCCCTGGGGGCTACAGCCTGGGATCTGAGTCGGACTCCTTAGACTCACATTCCAGCTCTGCCCTCGCTGAGTAACCGTAGACTAGAACCCCACCTTCTCCATGTACAAAATGGGGACAGTGATCCTACTTAGATCTGAAGATAGATTAAAATCGTGAGGATTAAATGAAAGTATCTAAAATAAGGCAGTGATTAGGCATAGAGGATGTTCATTTATTCAGTTACTCGTTTAAGAAAGTTATTGACTGTCTTCCGTATGGCAGATAGTAAGGGGTAACAGTAAAACGCCTTTCTTGTTCATCTTGCATTTCTTAGAGGGGATAAACAGTAATAGATGGTGGCAGGCAGAAAAAGGAATGAAGCGGAACAAAGTGCTGGCGTGATGGGGAGCGAGGCGGGAGGGCTGTGCAGGGGGAAGCTATTTTTGTTCAGGGAAGTCATCTCTGAGGAGATTTGAGCAGAAATCTAATTGGAATCAGGGGGGAAGGCAGGCAAACATTGGCTGGGAAAGGAAGCAAAAAAATGTGCAAAGGTCCTGAGATGGATGGAAGCAGGTGAGAACAGAACTAGAGCAGAGCCTTAAAGAGGAGGAGGAAAGTGACAGGAGGTCCTGGAGGCCAGTGTGGGGACTTCCAAGCAGCGCCAGGCCCCCCAGTAAACAAGGGGAGAAGAGGCTCACTTGTGATTAGTCATGAAACTGTAATAAACAATTTTACTTTTTTTTTTCAAAGACTCTGCTTCTAGTCGTGACTAGCATCTGTCTCACTCCCAACCACTGCATCTTCCTTCAGAATCAAAGCCTTTTTTTCAAGTTTACAATCCCTGACGGGGATGGAACGCCCAGTCAGTCAGAAACACAGCTTCTGTACCTGCAGTGAACAGGGTCACGTGGTTTTCACCACCTTGGTCACTACAGGTGAGTGAGTAGGCACAAGCAAATGTAAAGACTTAATTAGAACGCCAGTTTTCTGTTGCAACCTGGTGTGTGGAGACAGGGTAGAGCCCAGGAGGGGTACCTTTGTCAGACAGTCTCCAAGGTGCTTGAGCGAAAAAGAGGGGCTGGCCTTGTCCTACCGGGGAACTCTGTAGGCTCATGTGAGGTCTGTGTGTTTGCTGAGCTGTAGACGAAAGGCATCAAACCTCACAATTCACTCTCTCCCCTGGGGGCGAGGCCTTCATCCTAGTAAGAAGGCAGCTGGAAAGGGTTTTGGGCAGAGCATGCTATGCAAGGAGACAAGACTATTGGAGAGGCCAAGGAGAACAGGAAGCCCTGGTGGCCTAGTGGTAAGAAACTGCGTTGTAATTCCAAAGGTATACAATTCAAATCCACGAGCTGCACCACAGGGGAGTGGACAATCGCCTCCCATGCAATTTATTGCCTCTGAAAACCTGTGTGAACTACTACTGCCTCTGAAAATCTTCTGGAGGGTCAGCTATAGGTCGGTTCCAGCTCACGGCACTCAACAACAACACAATAATTGAAGGAGTCTCTGAATGAGGAGAATATTGAAGTAGTCCCGGCAAGAGATGATAGTGGATTGAACTAGTTGCAAAGTTACTCACAACAGTTATTTCCTACTTCTAACAACGATTTCTAGACACAAGGCCCTCTCACGTCCCACCTGACCAGTCACTTACAGGGGTGGCCACGTTGAATTGGTAAGATCGGAAGAGGTTGCTCATGTCAGCAGCGTAACGCCCCTGGTAGCCATGTGCCCCCCAGCAGGATGAGTAGAGGTTGTAGATGTTGAGGCCGATGCCCTCAATCATGCCATAAGCTTCTAAGACCTGCGGAGAGAAGTCAGTCCAACTTCTTGGCCAGGGCTTGAGGGTGAAAACATGGAAAGCATTTGTTACCCTTTCAGTAACTGGTCTTTGACACACGACCTGATGTAAAGGGCCTGAGATTGGGCCCTTCTGTCCTCTTGGGGGTCATGCTGCACCATGAGGCTCTGCTGCGACCCTTTCTCCACAAGAAGAGGGTTCTCCTGTGCCAACCGGGTCTCCGAAGCCAATGGGCTCCCTACGCTCTGTGGACTGGCATTCACGATGTGGCCCTTTTGGAATGTGCCAAACACACCGGCCCTCCCATCTCAGCCGTTCATACTCCCCACATGGCTATCCCCACATGGGCATGCACATTGAAACCGGAACATTGAAAGGCTCAGCGGCCCCCAGATTCTTGGCGGCAACATGAAACGGAGCACTGAATAAACACCTCCAGTTGCCGCTGGTTGACTTTGGCTCACGCCCCCCCCCCCATGTGTGTCAGAGCAGAACTGCACTCTGTAAGGGGTTCAGCCGCTGCATCTTCAGACTATCACCCAGGTTCATCCGGTTGCACTCAAGCCTCTATCTAGCATTTCAGTTCCCCGCTGAGTTCCTTAGCAGTTCATACCACACTGAAACTCTCAAACACTTCTAAAATATCAGGGCCTGTTTGAAAGAACATCCTTTTATCAAGAGTTCGAATAAAGACTGGAAGCATGATGACTTTTGGGATCCAGGCAAAGGCTGGCTAATGAGGACCTGGAGGCCTCCCCCAGCCCAGGGAGCAAAGCTGGAATCATTGCTCTGAGCCTCCCTCCCCTCTGACATCTGCTCCTTCAAAAGCCAATAGAGTGTGACATTTGCCACATAACAAGTTTTAAAATCCTTTTTTGTTTGGTTATTGTCTTTGAGAAGATACACAAGAAAACATAACACTAAGCTGACCTTTTGGAAATGTTCAACTCAGTGACATTAATGATATGTTTTGACTTGCCAACTATTCTCACCCTCCTTTGCTGGGTTGCCCCTCCTCCGTTAATACACACTCAGTTTCCTATCTCACCCACCCAGTAGCTGTTACTCATTTGACCCCAGTTTGATCATGAGTTATTAAAAGGTGCAATGCTCAAAGTAGACATTTTTTTACAAACAATGCCAAACTATTGCTTGGTTTTAAGACTTCAGGGGACTTTTTTTTTTACCCAAATGACTTTCATAATGAAATTAGAGCCATTTCAGAGTTCACAAATGACTAGTCTAAGTCATTTACATGGAGTGGGGGGGAGACAGGTTGGTGTGACGGCAGATCCTGCTAGAGAAATTGAGGACAGGCCTGTCTCCTGGAGTCACTCCTGGATTCCTGGGTAAATACTACCGCTAATGTGGACAGGGCCTACCTCGTGGGTGTTTTACCAAGGCTATTGTGAAATTTCTTCTTGGGCAGGTTGAAGGACTTGGTGAGAGGCTATACCGCCTGGAGGAGACTCTTACCACTGGACACAAACATCTCAAGTTTTGTCTACAGGCTGCCTCTCAGTGGTTGGAAAGCTCTGACGTAGTTTATTCTCCTGTCTACAAGGTGAGGATAATAGAGCATATTCTGGAAAACAATGGAATTAAACCTGGAACACATCAAACTTCCACACTAATTGAGTATTAAATGAGAATTGTCAAAAGACATAGAGTAGATGAATATATTCATCTATTTGATAGGGATGGTTATTTGGGGTTTTTTTTGGTTGGTTTTGTTGTTTTTTGTTTTTTTTTTTTTTAGGCAGAAGATAGCAAACCACATGTGGAAAACACCAAACCAAATGTGAAAAGGTGCTCTGCCTCGTGTCCACGGTGATTGCCTCATAATGACGAATTAGGGAAGCAAAATAAATTTCTGTTTATCGGCTTATACAACTTACCATTAAAACACTATCTGTATTTTATTGCTCGAGAGAGTAGAAGTACTGTTAAAATCTCACAACTACTCTGGAAGACAGTTTGGCATTTTCTCAAAAAGCTGAACTTTTTCAAATTCCATATGACCCAGCTATTCCACTGCTAGGAATATACCCCAAGGAAAATAGATCTGAGACACAAATGAAGACTTGTACACCAATGTTCATGGCAGCACTATTCACATTAGCAAGTACATGGGAACAGCTCAAATGTCCATCAACAAACGAATGGATTGAGAAATTGTGGTACATTCGTATGATGGAATACTGTGCAGCACTCAGGAGTAATAATTTCAAAAAATATTATATAACATGGGGGAGCCTGGAGAACATTATGCTGAGTGAACTAACTCAGTCTTATAAAGACAAATACTATATAAGGTCATTATTGTAAAAATAGAAGGATAACTTATAATATGTGTATAAATGTCCAAAGAGGGAAAGAGAGGGTTGGTGGCATCACAGAGTTTGGTGGTGAAGGGAGAGGGGTGAAGGAATTAGGAAAGATCCAGTGGCATCTGAAAAGGACAGTAATAATGGGCATAGATCAATGGCAATTGATTTTATAAGATGGACTGTATGAATGATCATATGAAACACATTGTGAATGAAGGAATGGGTGAAATACAATGTACATGAATAAAAAAACCTTTAAAAATATTTTTTTTTAAATCTCATTGGTCAAGGAGGGTAACCTGATGGACAGGAAATCTAAGTTTGGTACCACTGGAATAAGGACAAGTTTTGACATCACGGTTCACTCAACTATGGATGCCATTTTGTCACAATTCTGTAAAAAACAATTTGCCATTCAAAAAGCAAAAATAATATTTTAACAACTACGTGGGCCCTACCAATCTACCTGTCACACAGGGTTGCTGTGTGGCTCAGAGAAGGACTAGTCAGGCCCTGTGAACTGAGAGGAGGAGTGTGTGCACTGGGCATGGTGGCCCCCTTCATTCCTCTCTGTACTTGAAGACAGGCTCCCTCTTCCCACCCTTCCTCCTCTCTCCCCTACCTATCCACCAAGGAGAAAACGCCTCACCGCATTGAAGCAATTGTCCTCTGTGTTGTTGAAGAAGTTGCAGGCACCCTCAGAGCAGCAGTAGGTTGTGAGAGAGGCCCAGAGGCTGTGGACAGAGAACTCAGAGTCAGGCGGCTAAGGTCGGAGATCTCTGTCCCTGTTGAAGGGCCCCCGACACCCCCACGCCTGAGAGCATCACCCCATTTCCTGCTTTATTTTAATCTAAGGTGGACTGCCTGGTGACCTCCCTCACCTATGGCCTACAGATGGCCACCTGCCTTCAATGTAGGTGTGCCATAGGGTACAAAAGATGAGGGTCAAAAGAAGGCAGGTCCAGAGCTCTAGTGGCCTAGTGGCAAGAAGCTGTCCTGCAATTGCAGCGGTGCGCGGTTCGAATCCACCAGATGCTCTGCTGGTGAAGGAGGGACAGTCTCCTCCTGTACCAGTCAGATCTGATTTGATGGTACACACACACACAAAATAATAATAAAAATTTTTTTAAAAGGCAGGTCTTACTCATCACCAAAGAGGCCATGGTAGTAACCAAATTCTAGCAGAGTATCATCATTCAGCTGGTAGTTACTCATTCCGTTTCCCACTCCAAAGCCCTAAAAACAGAAGAGAAGGAAATGGTTAGAAGCCCCCTCCAGACGGTGCCAGGGACATAGCTAACCTTTACCGAGTGCTCACTGTCTCCCAGGCCTTCCCAGGGCCCTTTATCGCCTTTATTTCCCATTGCCCTGTGAGGCAGCTGTCTTTATGTGTACTGTTATTTTCCTGATGGGGAAGCTGAGATATGCAGTGATCAGAAGAGTTTGCTCAAGGTCACACCGATGCACCCCAAGAAGAAAAGAATAGAACACTAATCTTTTATAAGGAGGCTCTGGTGGATTCGTGGTAAGCAGTCGTACTGTCAGCCTGAAGGCACTCAGCTCAAAATTCTCCAGCTGCTCTTTGAGAAAAACATGGGAATCTCCTCTGATGCCTTTGAAAGCTCGCGGGAGGGTCAGCTAACAGTTGGCTCCTACTTGATGGTAGGGAACGGCAACAACAATGACCAGCTGTTTAAATAACATATAATAATGTGATGGAAGCAGGAGCGGCATCCACTTCCGAAATGGCTTGCCTCTGGAAACTCTATGTATGAACAGTGTGCTCAGGCCGTTCGTTCATAGGGTCGCTATGAGTCGTCTACGACTCGACGGCAATAAACAACAACAACATAATAATGTGAAGCCAACATTTTAGAGTACCTTAAGGGGAAAAGGGCTTCCTCTCACTTTAGCAGTGGTAGTGTTAGCTTCCTTATCAGACTAACCTGCCTTTGAGCTCTTCTTGAAGGCCTTTTGTGTCCCTTTCCTGTCTGTCCCAGCCATTTCTGGTTAAAACCCTTTTGGTCACCCTTTCCTCATCTGGGCCACAGTATGTGCAACAGCACCTCACAATAAAAGCAACAGTAGTTTATGACCAGGAAATGAAGGCTCCTCTTCAAACTCCTTTTTCATTGGGTTCCCTGCCGCCGCTTTCTCCCCCCACCCCCATTTGCTCTAGCAATTTTCCTTCCAAAACCAATGAAAGTGGTAACAATCAAGGTATGTTTTTCCAAGTCAGGACACTGAAAACTTTTCACAGCAAATAGAGGATGCCAACTTCCCCCAGAATATTGAAAAGATTTCCTGGTCTGGGTCTTGACCACTGACCAAGCCAGCTAAACAAAAATCTAAAAACCTCTCTCATTCTGTGTTCTGTCCCTTCCCCTTTATAAAGCTCCCACTGTCTCCAAGGCAGAGAGACAAATTTGGGAAGCTCATATACCTTCTCTCCTATATGTTGTTGTTGATTGTCATCGAATCGAGGATGACCTATAGTGACCCTATGAACAAAAGGCCTGAAGCCTTTCTACAACCATCATCATTTCTCCAGGTTCATAGAGTTTCCAGGGGCATGTGGTTTAGGAAGTGGATGGCACTCCTGCTTCCAAATCAGTCTTAAAACTGGGAGCTCCATCAAACACTGCCCACCAATGGCATTTGACCCCCAATGGCACAAGGTTCAGTTTCACAGTAAACCCAGATTACCTTAGCACAGCAAATTGACAGAAGAGTGCTGTACAACTTAAAAGAATGTTCCTCCATACCAGCATATAAAAACCCCTTGGCTCTTCCACTTTACCCCTGTCCCTGAGAATGGCTTCTTTTTGGTCAGTGGAAGCCTGAGCTTACCTTGAAGTTAGCGGAAAACGGACCCTTGGCAATCTGTGCACTCAAGGAGGGGACATACACCCCTCCATAGCTTTCTCCAAAGACATAGAAGTCGTGGTTGGCGAAAGTGGGGAACTTTTCAAAGAAGCTTAGCACTGCCTGGTAGTTGTCAGCAGCCACCTGAATGGAGAGGGAATGAGATCCGAGCAGTGAGTCAAGAGGAGAGAGAATCCCAGTCAGCCTCCCCCACTCGGTCTAGAGCCAAGAACAGTCTTCTTTTGCCTGGTCCTCCCTAACTCAGCTTATCCCTCCTATGGCCTGTTCTTCATTCTTTGCACTGAAGCCAGAAGGGGGCCTTGGGTCAGAGTTGTTGCTGCTGCTGTATACCATCCGGTTGGAACTGATCCTCTAGGTGGCTTCCAGAGGCAGTAAATGGTACGGGAAGAGATTGTCTTTCTCCCTCATGGCTTTGAACCACATGCCTTTGGACTGGCAGCACAACTCCTTACCATTAAGCCACCAGAGCTCTTCTTAAATCTGCAATCCTTGTGGACTTTAGAAGACTCTGATTGAATCTGGGCTCGCTCACTAGCCCAAGCTCCTGCTGTTCTCCTAGTTCACAGCGTGTTTCCGCCTCTCGGGTGTTATGTTCCAAAAGCAGCTGTCACTCGTCTCCCACCTTTGCCCACTGTGCCCTCTGCCTGCAGTGCCCTCCCCCCCACACGCACTCTGGCTTCACCTGGAAAGCCATTCCTGATGCCCCAAGTGCAGGTGATCCCCCTGCCCTGTGCTCCCATGATCATATACTTACCCTTATTTTTGCTCTTGTAAGGACTGGCCTGCCCGCTAGTCTGAGAGGTGAAGAGTGGGACCACTCCACTCACCACTGCTTCCCCCTCACGGTGCCTCATACTGGTCTGACTTACGATCAAGCAAACAGTGTTGGGTCGTGCACCATTAGACACAATTGTAGCCCCGTTTGAACTTACACCCACTTTACCAGTCCATCTCGTTGAGGTATCACTATTTTTTTTTTTGTGGACGCCCTATCCAGAGTGATGATCTTTTCCAGAAACTACTGATAATATGGCTAATGAGTATAAGACAACCTGGCACCTTCCTGGCTTCTAAGGTGTGATCTGGTTGCATTTTTGCCAAGATAGAACTGTTTCATTTTCTGTCAGTCCATGGACTGTATATTCTCTGTTCTTCGCTGAAACCATGATTCAAAGGCCCCAGTCTTCCTTATTCACTGTCCAGCGTTCATGCGCATATAAGGTGATTGAAGAGACCATGGCTTGGGTTGGGGGCGCCTAAGTCTTCAATATTGAACATAAGTCTTTTTAATGTGTTCAAGCAGTTTGGATGTTTTGATTTACAAACACACACACACACACACAGAGAGAGAGAGAGATAGAGAGAGATAGATTTTTTCCCCCCATAGCTTTTCTTCATCCATGCCATTAAGGTTGACTATACTTTGAGAGAACTCTGATGATAAGAAACTATGCTGCAATCCCAGAGACACATGGTTCGAACCCACACGCTGCTCTGCAGGAGAAAGATGGAAAATCTCCTGCCGTGTGATTAACTGCCTCTGAAAATCCACTGGAGGCTCAGCTCTGGATCGGTTCCGACTCGACAGTGTCTAACAGCAAACAAGGACATCCTTTGAGGAGGCAGCCCCTCCCCAGTCATATTCTGACTGCTTTCCCGTCTGAGCGGCTCACGTATCTGACGACACCCTGCTGCTCTTCATAAAGTCTGCAGCTGCCGTTTTTCTGGAGGGAAACCATCAGGTCTTCCTTCCTAGCATGTCTTAGCCTGGAAAATCGGCAGAAACCGGACCACTGTGAGTGACCCTGCTTGTTGGAAATACCAGTGGCGTAATTTCCAGCATCATAACAACGTGCAAACAATGGCAGTAGGAGAAACAGACAGATGAGTGGTCGCAGAATACAGGGGGGAGGCAGGGCTAGCCTTTATCCATCAGCTTCCGGGGTCAGGCCTGGGCTTCCTTAAGTCTCAAACAGAGGCCAGCCGTGAACCTAAGCTTGAACTTGGGCAGGGAGTGAGAGTGGGCAGAGCAGCTGCGTGCAGGGAACAGGTCAAGGAGCAGAAGACCATGGTGGACGGAAGGGCCTGTGGTCTTCTCACCTCACGGCTCCTCAGCTCCACGAGCGGATCACAAAATCCCTGGGCTGAGGTCCCAACAGAAACCACCCCGATTTCAAATGGTGATTTACTAAAATGCACTTTTTTCTCCTTCCCAAACCTTATGCAGGCCAAGGCAAAGATGTTCACAGGCTGAGTGAGTGCAGCTCTGGTCTGAGGACACATGGCGTTTCCTTTCTTCTTCTGGCCTCTCATCCTTCTTCCATCTCTCCTTCCTCCCTCCTTCTCTTCCTTTCTCTTTCCTTCCTTCCATCTGGCTTTTCCTCCTTCCCCTTCCCTTCTCCCATCTCCCTACCTAGAATGATCCAGTCACTCACCTGCTGGTCGTTGGTGCGGTAGTTCTGACTGACGGAGTAGGAATAGCCCACACCTGCGGGGGACTCCAGGTATAAGACATTGGCCACCTTGTTCCAGCTGTGTGGGTTCATGTAGAGGGTGCCATCTGCATTCATCTGTGGAGGAGGGAGACAGATGTCCCCTGGGCTGCAGAGATCAAGGACAGCCATGGGGCTGAAGGGGGGGACTTGGGCCGCTTCCTGGCCAGTGCTTCTTGTAAAGACGACAGTGAGTGAGGGACAGAAGTGGATGCCTTTCTGACCATGGAGCTGAGGGCCCCAGAGTGTACTGTTGGCCCTTCAGGACAGAAGCCCATGTGATTCCAGGCAAGCCCGTTCCTCACCCACTTCTCCAAGCCCCAGAACATCTAAATCCAAACTATAAAAAGGATTTCCTCCCTAAACTCCATCCTAAACTGTTGTTTGCTGCTGCCATTTGTTCCTTTGGAAAGAACCTTGGGAGGGGAATCTTGTGGGGAGAATCACGGTTACTACTCTCATGATATTTGCCAAGTAATGTGTTAAATACTTCACACGAGTTTCCTTCTTGCTTTTCACGGCAACCTCATGATAAGTTTGGTTCTGTTATTGTTGAGAGAAAACTGACTCCCAGACAGGTTTACTTGCTTAAGATCACAGAAGTGGTTAAACAACAGCGCCCTCTGACTGAACGAATTCACCTGTTATCACAGCACATACCAATTCCTTCTCCTAAATGAGAGACGTGCATGGCACTGGTATTACTGCCAGGTCCACAGAGGAGAAAACTGAGGCCTTCTGAGGTTAAACAGCACCCCCAAGGTCCCCCAGTGCTAGGAGATGTTGGAACCAGGACCTGCACGACCCCTTGCATGGCCCACGTATATGAGACGACCTTAGCTTTGAGCAGTGTTCTGGATGGTTTCCTTTCCATGTGATTTTACTTACTGGTCCTAAAAGTTCTGCAAGGCAATAGATCAATGAAGGTAACGAGACCCAGAGAGCCAGAGTAACAGGTCTGAGGTGACACTGGCTACAATTTCTATCTCCTGGCTCTAAGTCAGAGCTTTTCCAACACACCAAGCTGCTTGTTCTTTTAAGGCCCCTCCTCTCTTCCCTTGGCCCAGTGTCTGACTCTGAAGCCTTACCTGGTCCCTTACCATTAAGCACTAGGTCATATGGGCAAATCCCCATGGGGGCTCTCACCTCTGGCTTGGATGATCGAGGGAGAATCAGGCCAGCTGACATCCATCCCTCCTCCCTCACCCCAATACTGCTCCAGGAAGTCCCTGTCTCACCCGGTAAGGCCCATTCTCTGCCAGAATTCCCTCCATGGAGCTACAGCCAGGACCGCCATTCAGCCAGAGAACCAAGGGATCCGAGGCGGGGTTCCCCTGGGATTCCACAAACCTGTAAGAAAAAGAGAGAGAGAGAAAAAAATCATCCTCTGGCTCTTTGCCTCTGCCAGCAGGGTATGTGATGCGTGCAGTCACCTGGGGCCTGTGTGTAGAAGGTGCTGCTCTTGGTTTAAAGGCTCTGCTCTCAGAGAAAGAAAGACCTTCAACAAGATGAGTTGACTATAACCACGGACTGAAGGATATCAGAGACGATGAGGTTGGCACAGGACAGGCAACGTTCAGATCCCTTCCTCATAGAGTCACTCTGAGTAATAGGTGACTCCGTGTTACCTCACAACGACAATAACACCACCATCTTGAAAGTCTTGGGAACTTTTCAACAAAGGTCCCTGCATTTTTATTTTGCCCTTTTCCTGAAAATGACAGAGCTAAGCCTGTAGTCCTAACGCTGTCTGCTGCCAGGGGATGGACGTGTGCTTCCCCACCATGATCAGGAGGCCGGGTTGGCAAGGGCAGATTGGTTTCCCGTTGTTCCCCAGAGCTCTCATGAGGACCCTGGCTGCCCGGGCCTCTGCGACTATTTCTTGGCCACTCGTCAGTCCATCCGAGGTACATGACAGATTGAGGATGGGAAAGGCGGTGCTCACAGGACCGTTAAAGGCAAACCCCAAGTGGGTCTTCCATGTCAAAGGGATGTTGGCAGTCATTTGCTCCAGCCCACCCACTGAGAAGAAGGGAAATTGAGACCCTGAAAATAAGGGACCTGTGAGGCTTCATGGTGTGTGGGTACTTGGTTCTTCCCTCACCTCCGGCACCCTGGTGAGGGTAGACAAGGAGTGAGAAGGTGTGCCTGCTCAGTAAACCTCAAATCCCTCCGATTTCTACTCAGGGAGGGAAGTCTAAACCTTTGGGGATGTAACTTTGTAATAAATCTATCTTTGTTGTTGTTGTTATGTGCTGTCAAGTCGCCTGCATAGCGACCCTATGTACAACAGCCCTAAACCCTGCTCTATCTCTTGCCAATCTTATTGTCTACAACACACCTACCCTCATGACCCCAGTCACTGAATCAATCCATCTCGTCGAGGGTCTTTTTCTCCGGCACTGTCCCTCCACCCTCCCAAGCATGACGTCCCTCTCCAAGGACTGATTCCGCCTTACAACATGTCCAAAGTATGTCAGACAAAGCTTCAGAATCCTTGCCTCCAAGGAGTAGCCTGGTTTAACCCTCTCCAGGACGAACCTGTTTGTTCTCCTAGCAGTCCATGGTATATTCAATACTCTTATCCAGCACCACAGCTCAAAGGCATCAACTCTCCTTCTATCATCCTTAGCACTGTCCAGCCCTCTGATGCATAGTGTGTAATTGCAAAGACTATAGCCTGTATCAGGTAGGTGCACCTTAGTCTCCAGACTGACATCATTGCTCTTCAGTACTTTGGCGAGGTCTCTGACAGCAGACTTTCTCAATGCAATTCGTCTTTTCATCTATCTTTTTTTAAAACAAACAAACAAAGCCTCTAATTCAATAACATTGAGTTGGAACTGTCACATAGCTGGCCCTCCAGTGGTTTTTTTGGAGGCTGTAAATTGCAGAGGAGGAGATTGCCCATCTGTCTCCCATGGAGTTGCTGGTGGATTCAAACCACTAGAGTAGCATTGCCTCTGGGCTCGTGACACCTTCCTACAGACTTTACCACTTTAGCATTTGATGGTAGACAACCCAGACACCCCAGGGACCAGGCCAGGGCCGACCATCAGAGGAGCTGCTGGCTGGAGCTTCAGTGCACTGAAGAGCAGGGACTTGCCTAGTGGTTGCCAAGCAGCATTGAGGACCAGTGTTGCCAGATATTCTGGTTCGGCGGGACAACCAAAAGCCCACTTTTATTTTGGTGAGATGACTCTCAATTTTTAAATCATTCCTTTTCTCCTTTAAAAAATATAAACATACAGAACTTAAGCTCATTGTCATTAAGTTATCCCAACTTCTAGTGACTTTATTGGGCTTCTTTCTTTCTTTTTTTAATGTTGTGTGCTGTTCAATCAGATCTGACCAGCACAGGAGGAGATTACCCTTCTTTCTCCAGAAGGGGATCTGGTAGGTTAGAACTGTGCACATTAGGGGATTGCAGTGCAGTTTCTTGCCACTAGGCCACCAGAGCTCCCTTTCCTTACTGGGTTTCTGAGGCTGTTAATCTTACCAGGAGGAGCTTTCCCATCTTTCTGCCACGAAGCAGCCAGTGGATTTAAACCATGGGGGATGAGTGGTCTTTTGATTAACAGCACAGCATGCTACAGACCTACCACACTACTTCTATTCTAAACACACAAGGACTTCTATTAACCACCCTGGGATCCTGGGGTAGAGAAAGCCGAGATGACCACCAAGGTCCCTTTAACTTGAGAGACCTGTGGCTCCACTTGGGTTTCAGAAATGGAAAGAATTGCAGAACAGAACCACTTCATTCACAAATAAGGCAGCAGACCAGAAGGCAGAGACACCAGCCGGAGGTCACCACTAGTGGGTCAGGGTCAGAGCCGGAACAGGCAGTCCTGGAGGCCAGAGCTCAGTCCAGAACTTTAGTGTCTGCAGGCTGAATTAGGGGGGAGAGACGTGCAGATGGACAGCAGGAGTGAGTTGTGAAGACCTTCCTGGCACTGGTGTGGAGAACTTAAGAGACCGGGGAGAGAACATCCAGCCTCTCATGCTAGGCGAATGCTTTCGTTCACGGATGTCCCAGTGCTACCAACTCAGCCACTTCTCTAGTATATCAACTGCCTCTGTTCTCTTTCATGGAAGTAAGTCATTTGAATACCAAAAACTAAGGCATATGTAACAAAATAGAACAGGAAACTGCTTCTCAAAAACCCCAAACCAAGGCCATTGCCATCTATTCAATTCCCACTCTCCACTATGGGCTAGATTACAACTGCTCCATGGAGGTTCTAAGACTGGAAATCTTATTTTTCTTGCAGTGAGATTGGTGGTTTTGAACCACTAACCTTTCACTCACAGCTAAACACTTGGACCACTATGCCAGCAGGCCTCCTCTGAGCTACCTCTTACTGATACACATATTATGTTGCTCCTCTCTGTCTCTCTCATTCGCTGGCATTTGGGAACCTCTGGCCCATGACCTCTCAGCTTCACTAGCTTCAAAGTTCTTGCCCAAGGACACCTGGCTACTAGCTAGTGGCTGTGCAGCTATTGGTGGCCCAGGCAACCTGCTCAGGACTGAGTGACAAGATGCTTACATATTTTTTTTATTTTGGTCAAGTAGATGCTTGTGCGGTGTTGGGGAGACAGCAGCCCCTTGTTGGCATCCACCAGCCCCCATCCTCCTCGATTAGACACCCCCCATCCTTAGCTGCTCACCAGTAGTGGAAGTATTTGCCCTCACCAGCCTGGAGGTAGCCTGACCACTGGAGGAAGTTGAGCTGAGTCGAGAGGCCAGGCAAGGAAGTGACGAGGTCCGGGACGTACTGCCCAGAACCCACGCTGAGGCAGAGGCAGGAGAGGGCGAGGAGGACCTTGGGCAGCCCCATGGTCACAGATGCGCTGGACATAGAGCTAGAACACTCCCATAGGGCCCAAGAGACCTTTATAAAGCCTGGAAGTGTTTGCCCAGCTCATGGCCACTGATAACGGTAATTCTGAGTCTCCCTGTACAAGGGCCGGCTACCAGGAAGTTAGACATTGCTGTTGAATGCCACCAAGGCTTTTGAGCTTTCCCATCAGGCTGAACAGTAAGGAGGGGCCCTCCAAACACTAGGGCTTTCTTTCCCTCTCCTCCTGCCTCTGGTAAACCACTAACAAACTCTGACCTCTATCCATTTTCCAATTCTAGACATCTTATGTCTATTGTGTATTTCATATTTATTGTGTATTTCATATATATTGTGTGTGTGTGTATATAAAATTTGTCCTTTTGTGATGACTTCTTTCATTCCCTGCTTTCAATATATATAATTTGTCTTTTTGTGATGACTTCTTTCATTCCCTGTTTTCAATATTCATCGCACATGTTGGGGCTTGGGTTTCGTGTTTGTTTTCTTGTTGTTAATTTAAATGAACATTTACAAAGACTTAGGGTTCCCAGTCATTCATTGTTGCAATTTTCTCCCTGCCCAACCCCTCACCCCCAATTCACTCTTCCCCTTGAAAAGTAAAAGAAAAACTCATTCATTGTTATATAATCCCTCTCCCGCAAGTCCACTCCACTGTGCAGCCTTCATTCTGGAATCCTGTCATGACAATAATACAAAATCATATATCGCTTTTAAACAGTTTTCTCCCTTATCTGTTTTAATGCAATATATGGCATTCCTCCCCTCCTTCTCTGTCTTCCCTCAACCCTGATGTGAGTCCTGTTTTACAACAGGGACCCAGTGCAATATTTGTCCTTTTGTGACTGAGATATTTCACTCAGTACAATGTCCTCCAGGGTCATCCATTTTGTATAATATTTCATGAGGTCCTTGTTTTTCAATGCAGCATAGTATTCCATTGTGCGAATATACCACAGCTTCTCAATCCATTAGTTTGTTGATGGGCACTTGTGTTGTTTCCAACTCTTTGCTATTGTGAGCAAAGCCACAATAAACATGAGTGTGCATGGGGCTTGGACTCTTTATTGATGTTCCATTGTATATCTCTACCAAATTTTGTTCATCCACTCATCTGTTGATGGAAATTTTGGGAGTTTTCTACCATTTGGCTGTTGTGAAAAGCACAACAATGAACACTGTTCACTCTTTTCATGCTGTATTTTGGTGACCGTAGTTCTTAGCTGTAATTGTTCAGTTTATCAGTCTTTGCCTTTCTGATAAATGCTTTTTGTGTTCTGTTTCAGAAGTGTTTGCCCACCTAAAAGGCATGAATTGTTCTCCTAGGCTACCTTCTAGAAGGTGTATTGTTTGACTTTCTGCAATCAAATCACTAATTTGATCGTTTAAGATATGAGGTAGAAAAAAAAAAGATATGAGGTAGAAGATAACATTCGATTGTTCTGGTAGGGGTATCTGGGTAGTTTAGGTTGGATTTGAGTTCTCACGATATGGAAGGTTTCCTGGGCTGAGACTCACAGATCTGGGCTCCAGTTTGCCTCTACTGCTGGCTTCTCTAAGGCCGTCAGCAAGCCCCTTCCCCTCCCAGCCTCTGCTCTTCATTCACGAGCTCAAGGAGCTTTGTGGCTCATACACGTCGGTGTTCACCCCTGTTGTCGTGTTGCTCCTGTGCATCTCCTTGCTCCGACAAAAGAAGCCGGCAGGACATAGGGAGCAGGGACCAAGAACATGAAGCCAGGGTTACAAATTGCAAAGAAGTATGAAGTGGAGATTGTAGAGATGAGAGTCTGTCTTTTTAAAAGAATACAATTTTTTTTTCATTGCTATTTTAATGAAAGTTTACAGAAAAGTGATTTCTTTCATTCATTCATTCATTGTTGCATATTTTCTTCCTTCCTCTTTCCTTTCCCCTCTACAGTTCGTGTTTCTAAAATATACTCATTCATTGTTGCAGATATGAAAGTTTAAATAAAGAATTTATTGTTGGAAATTGCCTTTGAGTCTATTTCATTAATGGTGACCACATGAGTGAAATAGCAGAATAAACATGGCTAACGAATAAATTAGTGGTAAAAACCAGATCAGGGAACTATCTTTCAAGGTCTTCCTAATACACACACACACACACACACACACACACACACACACACCCTGCAAGGTCTTACACACACACACACACACATTCCCACACACCCTGCAAGGTCTTATACACACACACACACACACACACACACACACACACACACACAGAGAGCTTCTCTTCTCCAGATTTCTTCCCACACCTCCCCCCCAGATTTCTTGTAGATGTAACTTCTTCCTTCATTTAAGCAATTAGCAATGTATTGTCTATAGGAGCTGTTTACAAATATTTAAGGTTGAAAAGAAAAGTAGATAAATAGTAACAAAAAGGAAAACAGGATAGTCATTTTAGCATTAGACAAAGTAATTGTTAAGATTTAAAAGTTTATGTAACAATGAATGAATATTTTTTGTTAAAGTGAACTGATGGGGTAGGGAGGAAAATGTGCAACAATGAATTTGAAAATCCAACTTACTGTGAACTTTTGTTAAAATCACAACAAAATTTTTTTAATAATGAAAGACATTATATATTAGTAAAAGGACCAATAAGTCAAGTGGATCTAATAATTCTGAACTTACATGCATTTCTTATAAAACATCATAGGACCAATATTTATGAAAGAATGACTGACAGAACTCTAGGGTTAAAATAGTAAAGTCAGCTCTTGGAATTGGAGATTTAATGCAACCATTTGGGAACAAATCCTCCTGTGATGTGCAAAAGTAGATGTTTTTAAAAGGATAGGTTAAAAATAATTGTAAATGCTCAGGGAGCTCTGGTGACCTAGTGGCAAGATGCTGCACTGCAATCCCAGAGGTGTAGGGTTCAAATCCACCAGATGCTCTGCTGGAGAAGGAGGGACAATCTCCTCCTGTACCAGTCAGATCTGATTTGATGGTACACGTAAAAATAATACAATAAATGAAAAAAAAAATTGTAAAAAAATATAATAATTGTAAGTGCTGTTAGCTGCCTTTGAGCCTAACCCATTAGGGCTCTATGAACAATGAGATCAATGCAGAGAACATGGAAGACAAGAATTCTACCAATGAGCCACCACTGCCCTCAGTTGTAAATGGTGGTTCTCTAATTTTCTTCCCTAGGCTTTGGCAGCCCCCTAGGGAGGCTCTGGGTTGCACCTTTGCTGGAGTGTCTGCGGTAAGAGTCAGGCATGTTTCTGACAAGGCTTGGAAACAGGTGGGGGCTTTGCCTGCATGGAGAGGACCCTTTGCGTGGCATCTCTCACTCTGAGAAGGGCAGAGGCCGCTGTGCACCCACCACTCTTGCCCTCTGAACTCCACTGCCTTGCTTTTCTGCTGGATCAAAACTGACAAGGGCCATTTTCAGAAACCAACCTAGGGTAATGATTGTAGTGGGGAAAGAAATACCACTGTGACAAGAGGCAGGAGCAGCAGACAACATGAACTCAACCTGGATGGAGGGGCCCCTCGACCGGTAGAAACATGCAAAGAAATGCTTCATTTCCCTGGCTTACACGGCAACTTCACTTCTAGCCAAGCAAGCTCCCTTGCCTCTTGGTTTCCTCTTCTGCAAAATAGAGATAATTATAACATTGAGGTGTTAAGTCAATGAAATGGAATAAAACATAATGTTTTCATGAACAATACTGAAAAAAGGCAGATATAATAGCATAAACAACAACGTTAAGGTTGGTCCTGCTATTATCACTGTTTCACAGGTTAAGAAAGCGAGGCTCAGAGGGATTAAGAAAGTAGCCTAAGGGTTGTGTCGGAATCTGGATCAGAATCAGAGCCTCTACTTTGCAGGTTCCTCCATTGCAATGCCCAGTCCAGCTTCTGCCAATCAGGGTGCTGGCTCTGCAGATGTCCATCCTTCCACAGCCTGGGGCCCAGCCCCTCAGCCACCTGGGTCCTTCCACATAGTGGCTGGCTCCTTGAGACAAGTGGGTGGGGCTCTTTCATCCTGGGCCAAAAGCTCATTGCTAAGATAATTGGGGGGGGGGGGAATCAATATTTACCATACAGGTTTTCTCCTCTCCAGGATCTTTTTTAAAAACTTTAAAAAAATTTTTTTATTATTTTATGTGTGTGTGTGTGTGTGTGTGTGTACCATCAAATCGGATCTGACTGGTACAGGAGGAGATTGTTCCTCCTTTCCGGGCAGAGCATCTGGTGGATTTGAACCGTGCGCTTCTGGGATTGCAGTGCAGCTTCTTGCCACTAGGCCACCAGAGCTCCCCTTAAAAACTTTTTTAAACTATTACTTCGTGTGTGTGTGTGTACATGTCAACAAATTGAATCTGACTGCCCCTCCTTCTCCAGCAGAGAATCTGGAGGATTTGAATCATGTACCTTTGGGATGGCCAATGCAGCTTCCTGCCACTAGGCCCCAGAGCTCCCTACCTCTCCAGGATCTTTTAAAATTCAAACTCTCACGAGGCTTCCGCAGGGTGTTCCATGCCCCAGCTCCCACCCTCAAAGTCCAGGGGCTGTGTTTTTCAGTCTAGGAAAGCCTAGCCCCTGTCTTTGGATGCGCCTGAGAGAGTGTGCAGACAACTGTAGGAAGCCATAGTGACCTGGAGCAAGGGTGGTCAAGTGGAACCCCTCAGTGGATCTCTTTGGCACTGCCTGGTGGCACTGAGGGGGAACCTGTCTGTCTGCCTGGGAAGTTCTGACTGGAAAAATCGAGAAGACTAGTCTTCAACATGAGGAGGAAGCTCTCTGTTCACTCACGGTCCGGGCACAGATTAACTGGAAAGCACAGTCGGTCCATAACCGGGAGCAAGGAACACGCAGATCTAATTGTGCCTACTTGTTCATCTGTGGCAAGTGATTTTGCATGGGTTACACCACATCTTCGACGTGGTGGGGGACAGGCGACATTGTTGACTGCGGATTCGTGGCATGACCCAACT